GGTGAAATCATACCAGCAGCGAAATTGACAGATCTGAAACTTTAAAACAAATATATGAAAGAACTCCTTCTACCTCTTTCAGAGTACCTCTACATCAATTATGTTCCCAAATTTAAACGGTTAGATAATTTAAGAAGCGAAAGTGAGTTGTGATTGGTACGCTCAACTTCCCAGCGTAGGCACCTTATTGGATAAACCAAGGGAGGTAATGAAATCATCGGGCCAAGCCGTGGATGTTTCCAGGGTATAGTGGAGATTGACCGTAACGTATACCCTGATGATTATCGAGAATGGTACAGTGATCCATGAACAGTTAACGGTCAAACGACTAGAGATAAACAGAAGACCAGAAGACTGAGTGAGTTAAGTATAGGTCACATCAATAGTATTTCAGCCATGTTATGGCTTCATCAAATAAAACAGTTTTACGATACTTTCAAACATTATATTTCAAAATAAACAAAACACAGTAATATACCTAGATGTTCACATATATAGGTCTAAAACTGGTACGTTAGAATCAAAATGTGACTATACAGAACATTACAATCTAAAGTAGGGCTACAGATCACAAGGTATTTCTGCAACCTGCAAGGTACCCCGGCTTGATTTATACCAACCCTCTGGCTACTGGTGATTTGTAGACACAGAGGGACAATTATTTTACGCTCCTTCAGTCCCTCTTGAAGACACAGCCACTAACAATCAAAATTATTTTTTCATTCGTCAAAATTAAAATAGTTACTTACCTATTTACAATATAAATTCGTATAAAATGTATGGATTACATCAATTTCTTTTTTAAAATAATATAACTCAATACAGGCAGATGCTAAAAAAGATCATTCATGGTTGAAGCCTTGAAATGAAACAAATCTGATGGAAAATTCAGAACATGCTTCACCGTTGTTCTTTCATCTCACTGGATACGGAAATGGAGGATCGTCAGCTTTCAACAAATAGTCATGAGTATATCGTGACGAGAGATACTCTATCGTCTTAATATGACCTCTTCAAATCTGGACTGACAACCTTACTGGTGCACCCGGTAGTTGGTGTAATATCGTGTAATTTATATATATCTACTCGGGTGTCCCAATTAGTTGCATAAGATCACGAATGTAGCATCTGATGAAAGTTCTATAATCATTGTACTGGTGTCACAGGCTTCTCTAGAGCTGCCCTTGCGGCAGCATCAGCCATTGTGTTACCCGCTCTGCTCACAAGACTGAGCAACCAATAAATGACAATGTCGTATTGGCCAGTTGAAAGATCTCTTTTATGGCTTTACAATTTCTAAATTGGATGAGTTGAAGACAAATCGTTAAAAAGAAAGACAGGGAAGGGTCAGAGCTTTGCAGATACTACAATTGAAAGTTTAAGGGTCAGCGCATTGCAGATACTACAATGGGTAGCTTAAGGGTCAGCGCATTGCAGATACTACAATGGAAAGTTTAGGGTCAGCGCATTGCAGATACTACAATGGGTAGTTTAGGGTCAGCGCATTGCAGATACTACAATGGGTAGTTTAGGGTCAGCGCATTGCAGATACTTCAATGGAAAGTTTAAGGGTCAGCGCATTGCAGATACTACAAAGGGTAGTTTAAGGGTCACCGCATTGAAGATACTACAATGGGTAGTTTAGGGTCAGCGCATTGCAGATACTACAATGGAAAGTTTAAGGGTCAGCGCATTGCAGATACTACAATGGGTAGTTTAGGGTCAGTGCATTGCAGATACTACAATGGGAAGTTTAACAGTCAGCGCATTGCAGATACTACAATGGGTAGTTTAGGGTCAGCGCATTGCAGATACTACAATGGAAAGTTTAAGAGTCAGCGCATTGCAGATACTACAATGGGTAGTTTAGGGTCATCGCATTGCAGATACTACAATGGGTAGTTTAAGGGTCATCGCATTGCAGATACTACAATGGGTAGTTTAAGGGTCATCGCATTGCAGATACTACAATGGGTAGTTTAAGGGTCAGCTCATTGCAGATACTACAATGGGTAGTTTAAGGGTCATCGCATTGCAGATACTACAATGGGTAGTTTAAGGGTCAGCGCATTGCAGATACTACAATGGGTAGCTTAAGGGTCATCGCATTGCAGATACTACAATGGGTAGTTTAAGGGTCAGCGCATTGCAGATACTACAATGGGTAGTTTAAGGGTCAGCGCATTGCAGATACTACAATGGAAAGTTTAAGGGTCAGCGCATTCCAGATACTACAGTGGGTAGTTTAAGGGTCAGCGCATTGCAGATACTACAATGGGTAGTTTAAGGGTCATCGCATTGCAGATACTACAATGGGTAGTTTAAGGGTCATCGCATTGCAGATACTACAATGGGTAGTTTAAGGGTCAGCTCATTGCAGATACTACAATGGGTAGTTTAAGGGTCATCGCATTGCAGATACTACAATGGAAAGTTTAAGGGTCAGCGCATTGCAGATACTACAATGGGTAGCTTAAGGGTCAGCGCATTGCAGATACTACAATGGGTAGTTTAAGGGTCAGCGCATTGCAGATACTACAATGGAAAGTTTAAGGGTCAGCGCATTGCAGATACTACAATGGGTAGCTTAAGGGTCAGCGCATTCCAGATACTACAATGGGTAGTTTAAGGGTCATCGCATTGCAGATACTACAATGGGTAGTTTAAGGGTCAGCGCATTGCAGATACTACAATGGAAAGTTTAAGGGTCAGCGCATTCCAGATACTACAGTGGGTAGTTTAAGGGTCACCGCATTGCAGATACTACAATGGAAAGTTTAAGGGTCAGCGCATTGCAGATACTACAATGGGTAGCTTAAGGGTCAGCGCATTGCAGATACTACAATGGGTAGCTTAAGGGTCAGTGCATTGCAGATACTACAATGGAAAGTTCTGTAACTCGGAATGATAGCTGTTTTGAACAAAACACCGGGGTACTAGCTGCTTTGCCAGCGTCCTTGCATCCATTGGTAAATATTGAACCGTGATGATTGTATTTACTTAATAGTTGTAGGTATTCCTGTTGAACTAATTGGTTTGTATCGGGCATTTTAAAACTTGTTAGGGAAGCGTCTACTTCTGGACTGACCAACCGCCAGAGAGTCGACAAAAGTCGGTATGGAGAGATGATATCAAACGCCGAACGTTTAGCCTCAATATGTGGTTTAATCTGAATCCAAAGAAGGGGAACCAGCTTTGGTTTCTTATGAAAGTGTTCCGCACAGATAGGATTAAAAACAGGGTTATAAGCAGGATTTGAAGGATTGGAACAGAATTTAATAATGTACTGAAGGGACAATTTAATGCGACATTGTTTTGAAGAACAATAGTGGATGTTGGAAATGCATCCAATCATTATCTGAGACCTTAGATCATGTCTCTTTGTTTTAAAATTACTCTTGCAATGGAGCCATAGTTCCATTTTGTGCGAACCAGTGATCTATAACAGTGATGGAGAGTTGTCTGATTGCTTCCCCACTTTGTATTTGACACAATGTTCGACCGACTTAATGCCTTCAGGCATTTGAGAAGATCATAAGGACAGAAGTATTTTAGAATGTTTTCATATATTGTTATTTAAATCGTCAAATGAGATAATAGCAACATGAGTTATGAAACAGACCCTTATTGGAAGTAACAAATGCAGGACATGTTCAGGAAAGCCACGGTTAGGTGTTGAGTGATGGTGGTATTTTAATCTTTATCCTTCTGTCACTGTGCAGACTGCTTTCCATATTGTCAATTTGCCTTACCGGTTGACACAACATTAAAGGTCACATGCAACCAAAAAAATCAAACATAATTAAAACACAATTATCACTTCTTCATGACATATAATATGCATTGCTGATTATGAAAAAACAAATAAACAAAATTATAAGCGTATAATCGCAAATCAAAAGTGCAATATTTTGTTCTTGGGTTTACCTCCCTCGAAACGAAGCAGCCGGATACCGAACCCAGTCAGAGCGGGTGGGTGTGCACTCAAGTGTAACGGCTGGTTCATTAGCCGATGCCGCCTTCATTGCTCAGTGTGTGTGTATATATAGAGATGTTGGGTTTTGTAAATACATGCTCATTTTTTTGTGTACAACATTTTGCAATCAACAGAAATCATAACATGTCATGTGTTCAAGTATCAAACCTGCCTGTCTGTGTAATTACATAATGTGACAGAGACCGAACTCGGGCCATAAATCAATGCGTTTTGTTTATGGTGTATAGCCTGATTGGTGTTAAGTTCAAATTGCATGTGGTCAGTGATCGCAGTTGTGTATTGAATATTGTCATTAGCAGACAGGCAGGCAGACACACAGGTGTCAATAAAACAAGACATTGAGTTTTGTCTGTGACAGCGACATATCTATATCACAGTTAGAAATTGTGTCAACGCTAAATAATGACATTGCTTTTAAGTATCGAACTGAGAAAGTGACTCGGTAAGAAGAACGTGTGGTTAAATAGACAAATGAAATTATATAAACAGTTTATTTACTGTCATAACATATAAAAAAGCTCGCGCCTGTGAGATATCAACAAAACATTATGAAAATAGCTCACACCAAAGCCTTCACCGAGTATTCACCAGACAGCCCGCTTCCAAGTTGCGCGAACCTATTTCACTGCGCACGTGCTATGAGCGCAGCCCAGCTGTTGAAACCCGTATTCCCCAGAAAAGTCTTGGGAAAATTAGTGAAACGTTTGAACTCCGATTTCGCGCGTTTTTTTTCATCGCGTTATTTTTCAACTTTATAAGTTGAATTTGCATTTTTTGACGCTTTGTTTCGGTAAGTCCATATCGAAAGGTATCAGAATCTGCAAAGTTGTGTTTTGCGTTGCATGTGACCTTTAAGTACTGACAGTGACGTAGGAGTTCCCTACTTGCAAATATTTTCCATTGGTCATAGATTATGTTACTAACAAAATAAATCCGTGTATGTTTATCTTTTATCAGTAACATTAAGTACACATATATTATGTTTGCTTTACGGATAGATCAGTTTTAGCCATGGCGAGCAAGGAGGACAGTGATGCAGGAGTTCCCATGACAGAGTTACATTGTCAAGGAGGTGACAGAAGTGAATCCACACCACAGAGAGAATCATGGAGCAGACATTTGGACTACATGCTGACAATGATTGGCTACTGTGTTGCATTAGGAAACCTGCTGAGGTTCCCCTACATTTGCAACAGGAACGGTGGAGGTAAGACTGTATGTAGTTATTTCTTATGATTCTTGGAGACAGCAAATTGCGATACCTGTATAATCTGTGACATGATTCCATAAAAACACACACGATCCAATAAATATGCAAATAACCATTTTTAGAAAGCTGTATAATTTTAAGGCTTACATTCCCACGTTATTTCTGTTGAATAAGAGTTGGATTTGTTTGTAGAAGAACATGGCTGTACGGTTAGTCTGCATCTTTAAGGACGGCATCAGATTAAACTCAGTGATCAATGCGATCGCTAAGATGAGGTCTCAACGCATCCTCTTTTATGTTAGGGTTAATGGAGATCAAAATGTGTTACATTAAATCATTTATGAATATTCTTACACATTTCCATTAATTATTATAATCGATGTGTATAATTCAAGACTGACCCAGTAACTGAAAGTTGACGCCTAGTATATATCATGGATGTGTCAAATATCATGGTGACTTTGAAGGTAACATACTCATAAAATTACCCCTTAAATAGTTCCATTCAGTTGAGAATTCTTGACATGGAATGGGGTGAGTTAATTTGGCTTGATGCCCCATTGAACCGTGTTCCCTTCCTACCACGACGTGTCAACTTGATGCGGAATAAAAGCCTGACGAGATACGTAACCTTGAAGCATGGTCGAGTTTAATCATTACAAGAACACATGACTACATATTCCCCCAGGAGCTTTCCTCATCCCCTTTGTCTTGATCCTGGCCATCGCTGGGTTCCCCTCATTCTTCGTGGAGGCGACCATCTCGCAGTTCTCGGGAAAGGCTGCCAAACAAGTCTGGAGCTTCTGTCCTATGTTTAAAGGTCAGTGACAATATTCTGACCAATACGATTGCATATACTATATACAAATGATAGGGATTCACATGTGAGCTTTATATAATCACTTCTGTTGGGTTATTTTCGTGTTTGGAATGCGTATGCCTGATGTGTTTCCTTATTATCAGTTGTTTACAGTCCATTGACAGGTTTTATATATAGAACAAAACTGACATTGATGAGAATACGCTTATACTACTAGGTGTCATAAATAAAGGGTCAAATGATATACAGCACATGTAAAGAAATGTTTTTCAGAAATAATATGCTCTTGCCATGATTACCACAGACTGTGGGTCACAAAACCTTCGCGTAACGGATCTAACCAAGGACATCTTTCTCAACAATGAAATGGTTTATTCTGTCAGCTTCCTTAAGTGTCAGCAACAAGACTTGTAGCTGGAGTTGGTCCAGTTTCATCTGAGTGAACGGCTGTTGTTTGACGGTCAAGAGAATGACTATTCTCTTCCATGAACCACATTCATGCATTAGTTAAATTTTATAAACATAATTGGCCAAATTTATGACCAGTCAGAGCCACAGTTGACAAAAGCATTATATTTCCTTCCTCGTACTGACATTCTTCCACAAAGTTAACGTCCCATGTCTCGCGGTTACGGCTTGTGCTTGTGGGCGGCTGTCAATGAGAGCTTCTATATTTTACATGAGCGCACTTACATTTCGTAATCTGTAATTGTAACCAAATTGGAAGCATTTAGCTCCTGCAGAAGCTCGGTTTGTGGCCAACATCAACATGACATTCCTTGGTGTTAATAAAAAAAACTGGCCAGTGCAACGTAGATTATGATTGTGTATATTTCGTCTTTTGTATATCCCCTACCGAAGTGCAGATCAGGTTATTATATATTGGCTTCTTGTTCCTGAAGAAGGCGTATAAATATTTTTATATATTGACAATTAGGAGTTGGTGTTGGCGCTGTTGTGGTTGCATTCGCGTACATGCCCTATTACAACCTGTATCTGGCCTGGCCCATCTACTACATGGTGAAGTCCTGCTCCAGCGTCCTGCCCTGGACAACTTGTGGCAACAGCTGGAACACCGACCTGTGTATTGACTACGGGAATACAACGTATAGCAGAAACAAGACAGCCCTTGCAGGGAATACGTCATATACCATCACCAAATCTGAAAAGTGGGAAAATGTGACTCTAGCTCACACACCTGCGGAAGAGTTTTGGCAGTACGATATATCTGTCATGTTATTTTTATAAGGACAAGCTTTGTCAAAATATGCTTCCCGTATACATACATGGTGCTCATGTTTAATATGAATGTATATAACTGTCAGGTTTGATTAAAGTTATTAAAGACCAACAAATTCATCGGATTCGGCGCTGTTGTTGTTTTTGTTGTCATGACGGTCAAAGTCACATGACGAATGATATATATGATCAATTACATATTCATGACATATAAAAACATCAATCGATTCACACTCCGCAGAGTAGTAGACTCGTTTCTCCCTTGTGTTGACCTTTAGCTTGATATTTATTTTTATTTTTGCCCAAATTATAAGATTCGTTTCTTCCGCTGCTCTTCGCTGTACAGAGTTGCGTCCCTTTGTCACGTAAGAATCAAAGATAGTTAATACATAGTCTATGGCCTGCACTTATCACCTCACCTACCCTCTATTTTTCTTTCAGCTACAATGTCTTGGGTGTCTCAACAGGCTTGGAGGATGTTGGGTCTGTACAGTGGCACATAGTTGGATGTCTCTTGTTTTCAACTGTCATAATCTTTATATGTCTTATTCGTGGAGTCAAGTCTGTTGGTAAGGTAATGTGAACAGAAATAACACTGCAAACATCTGTACGAATGCCCTTTTAATATTTAATACACTGATTACGAGCCAACTATTCAACCAGAACATCCACTCAGATACGGATATATCCTTTCAAATTCAGATCTTACAAGTTACAAAATGGGCACGAGTTCTTTGAGAACCAACAGGAAACAAAGCACAATGTTCACTAGGAGTACAGTACTTCAAGTCAGAGCTAACTCATGCTTGTCGCAAGAAGCCACTGACGGGATCGAGTTGTCAGGCTCAATGACTAATGACTCCCACTTTGATTTAATACCAGTATTAAGAACAAGGCATCCTATATGTTTGTCTATATCGCAATATCTTGGCAGGTATCTGCAGTGGTAATAGTGAGTGAGTGAGTTTGGTATTACGCCGCTTATAGCAATATTCCAGCAATATCACGGCGGGGGACACCAGAAATGAGCTTCACACAAATTACCCATGTGGGGATTCGAACCCGGGTCTTCGGCGTGACGAGCGAACGCTTTAACCACTGGGCTACCCCACCGCCCCTGAAGTGGTAATAAAGACCTGTTGACAAACAAAAGAATGATTCCATATTCATAATATTATTCAAAATAATCTTAGATGCATTGAAACCTTCACCAAAGCTATGAATATCTATCCATTTGAAAGCTGAAAATTATGTATCTGCCACAAGAAATATAATTTCTATTTATCCAAGCAAAGCAAAAGCTCTGGCTGACTATCTTTTGAATTCAAAGTCAGTTTAAACTTACCAGGATTTTTAAACATAGCATTTTTGTTATTTTAATTTTGGCTAACAGTTCTTCAATCGCCAACAGCTGAAGGGATGGTGTAAATCCAATTAGGCTCCATGCAGGTAGCAAAGGTACTGTAAGTTCCCATGGTCCCTAGTATGGTGATCAACCTTCAGTTGTTGGCAATCTATAGCCTGGTTTTATATTGTATTGTCGTGTATAGTTAAATGTTTTAGATTTAGTTACTAGTTTAAAATTTCAACCTGTGATAATCTAGTTGTTTTACTGTCCTTCGTTGACAGATTTTTATAATTTACCTTTAATATATATTAATCTATAACTTGATTTAGTCACGATATGGCTGAAATATTGGTGACTTTAAATTTTAACTCACTCACTCACTCACTCACTGTCTTTTAAAGGGAGAGAAAAACTTTAACTTTAAAAGTGACTAAAGCGTTTATAAAATATATCATGTTCCATAAGCTAATTAAAGCTGTTTGAAATGTTCTCTTGCATTCTTTTGCACTATTAACTTTTGTGTAAACCTTTTGTGTGTCAGAAAAACATGTATTTTGGGCTGGAGGTCTGTTATTCTGTAACATACATCTTGAATCTTGAATTAATCAAAACTCGATTCCTAATATAATTTATCTTTACTGGGATTTATCTAACAAAGTCATTCACATGAGCAATTAAAAGAAATATCCTACATCAATGTATCCATATGACTATGGGGATTATGTACGATAGCCGAATGGTTAAAGCGAAAGACCCGGGTTCGATTCCCAACATTGGTGCCCATCGTGATATTGCAGGAATGTAAATAAAGTGGTGAAAAGGCATGTTCACTCACTTGTTCATTGGATTATGTCTTTACTAGCTGTGTTGTGTAATTATCCGTTATCTTTATTGTAGATAACACTTGATTTACAAGCTAATAATTAAATTAAAGCTTTCTAAATCCAGATCATATAGACGCCAATAAAGGTCACAATATGTCCAATAACTTGATCTGTTCCTCCCTACAGGCTGTGTACGTGACTGCGCTGCTGCCGTACGTCCTCCTCATCTCCATCTGCATCACGACGCTGTTGCAACCAGGTGCTCTAGATGGCGTGTATTACTTTTTCATACCCGACTTCAACAAACTACTTGATATACAGGTGTGTTTCAATTGACAAAATTCAAGTCTTTGCAATTCTATGTATTTCCTTACTACCCTCTTCTTCCAATCTTGATGAATACTGACCAAACATGCCTCACGCTTATATATTTAGCAAATACAATAAAATATGTTACATTTGACCAATTTCTAAAATGGCATTGCGTATTCATTGATAAAAATAGTATTCAATTTCGAGTTTCTGAATTCTGTAACATGCTTGTGAACATGATTCATGTCATAACTTCCCATGTTTTCCTTCTATAACATTCTGTGACTATGTTGAGAATATGCTGGACTATTCCTGCTTCTTCGGATGCTTCCAGATAAATATCAACTCACTGTTTAAATATATCATACATCAAGCGTGGTATATCTTTGCAGTGTTGATATATACACAAGCACGGCATTACCCTCTACTGACTCTAAACCCTCTGCAAGTGATTACAACAGCAGGTCAAGTTTGATAACCAGTGATATTCACAAGAATGAAGGTCAAACCTAACATCGCCATACTTTTTGCTAGAGGAGATTTTAATGGAGAGTAAATTATTGCCATCATCTGTTATATGGCGCGGTGGGCGAGCTTGCTAAGGCGCCAGGCTAGTGATCCAGCGAGGTTGAGGTGTCGGGATCGAGCCCACCTGTGACTGGGTGTAAAAACTTTGGAGTCAACTTTGTGTGCAGAATCTTTCAGTGTTGTCACAACCCCTAGTGTACAGTACACTAAAGAACCCACGAATCCGTTGGTATATGACCAGATGGTGGCCACATGAATACGTGCAAACACCTAGTTGCGGGTACAGCAACGTGCAGTAAACGTGGACAAAGAACTGTGACTATGTGTCCCAGTCCACCCAACTGTGAATGGGTACCTCGTTAGGATGAGAAAGCCACAATAACTCGGTGCGCCCAGTGGCAGCAAGAGTTGTATACTTCCCTGGGAGTTGAGATTGATAATACGATGTGTCGTTGAGATTGACATTTAATGATCGAGGGGAAAATACCAACGCTTTGAGCTTGCACCAGTTGCATGGATATGTGCGCTATATAAATATACTATAATAATAATAATAATAGTATCTACAACTGAACTCATTGATTGTCATCAGCATAATTGGTCAGTTAAAAAGGACTGTGTGGTCAGATGTTAATGACAGATCAGATACATATATAACGGGATAAAAACCAGTGCATTTATGACGGAAGCCAATAAGATCAAAGCGAAATCGATCAATTCTGTGTCCAAACAGGCTTCACATTCATTATGTCCTTAAAAATAGTATTTAACTCCCTGTTTAAATATAGTATCGAGCAGACCTCGCCAATCTACTTATTGTTAGTAGAAATAATGGAACTGTTTGACGATGAATTACACTACCACTTCACACAGGTGTGGCTGGAAGCATGTTTGCAAGCGTTTTATTCACTGGGAGTTGGCCAAGGGATGATTGGCACTGCTGCCAGCTACAACAACTTTCATGAACCATGCCTGCGGTGAGTTACAAACCGAGAGTGCTTTAACATTACAAAGTGTCAAACTGAAACGTCACATGATTAATTTATTAGCACAACAGGATTGGTGATTACTTCTGCGCCTGTTACTAACAACCTCTTAGGACACAGACGTTTGTTCCATTAATGCAATGTCAAGAAAAGTTTCTCTAGGTATGAAGGCCACCTTCACAAATTACCGTTTGCAATATAAGGACAAGATGGGTATAAAGCTGAATGTCTGAAAGTGTACAATTCTATAATCATAGAGACAGAGCATTCGTATGACAAGGTCTCGCAAGAAACGTTACATGATTGGCTGTAATTACATCCCAGAAAGTTGCACAAATCATCATTGTGAAGTTAGGTTTCATAGAGCTACGGTAGTTTATGTTCCGTATTTAGGAACGAAAGGGCTGGATGTAATATGCAAATCTTTTCAACACAGCGACGTGTTAATATTTGTTTATATATTGCGTTATTGAGGCGATTTGGACATTCGAAATTCACGTAAGTCGATTTGCAACTTGACCTGAACCAGTGTAAGCAGTAGATAGTGATACAGTTGAATGCTTTTAAACGTGTGTGTTTATATTCACAGAGATAGTATCATATTGACGATTATCTCTGAAGGAACCAGTATCTTCTCTGGCCTGGTGACGTTTGCTGCTCTCGGGGTCATGTCACATAAAACGGGTGTTCCCATTGAAACTGTTGTCTCAGGGGGTAGGTAATTTTTATTGTATTTACAAAAACAACAAAACACCGATTTTTTAGAAAGGGAAAGGGACGTGTTGGTAGTTCTCCAGAGCTATAAGGCTCGTAAAACAGTTTTTGATCATAATGTTTTTAAAGGAATGCCTCTTGCTCAAACAATGCTTGATAAATAGTTTTCCGAGTCCAGTGGTGTATTGTGTTTGGGATATAGTTGAATCACGGGGCAAGAGATAATGCCAAGCCTTGAGGTCACAGTATAAGGATACAAACTAAAACCCTCAGTAGTATTTCCTGACATATCACTGAACATATAGTACTCGTGGATCAGCCTTTCCAGGACGGCGGTAAATTTTAGATTTACAAAACAAGTTTACCCTGGAGTATTTTAATCATAAGAAATAACAACGACACCCGTTCCCTATCCATAACAAATCTCTGCTTAAGGCAATGTCGAATTTATTTAATTCCAAATATTTTCTGAGCATGTGCTTATGAATTACTATCAAATAGTAATGATACTCGATGTTCGCGACAATGCGGGCATACCTTACCCCTCCATGGGCACCAGTCATAAACAGATGCAAGGCTAGTTAATTGTTCACCTGAAAAGACATGGTAGCGTATATACAGTAGCGTATAGTACCAGTGAAAGAGGGAAGTGCAGCACACATTATTTTGTCACTGATACACTAAACTGTAACGTGTTCTTCGCAAATCTACAGTAAAACATTTTGAAAGCTTTACTGACAACTTGAATGCTACAACCTTGATCCAACAACATCTTACCAAGAGTCACGTGAGGCTCGATTGCACCTAAAAAGTTGTTTAATGTACACAGCAAAGGCTGGAGGTTAACCACTATGAATGGATCCAAATGCGATGCACATAAAGCAGTGTCGCTTTCAAGTTCAGATGGGTAAATCAGTCGAAGAGAATTGGCTATTTGATTGCTATTAATCGATAACAGATCATCGATACACCTTAAGCTTAACTTAAGATAAACCTATTCGCAAAAGTACTTTGTTTTCATTTACAATAGGCAAACTGATTGACACGGATGAGAAATACAGGCAAAGTTCTCAATTTTTCAGTGTTCATGATAATACTATATTGGGTAAGATACTCAAGACCCGAATGAAAAATGGAAATGTCCTATCTAGAGAATAAACATGAAGTTCAAGCACGTACGACAGTTATCCAAAAGGTCACGGCAATTGCTAATAGCTTGAAGACGCTTGGCAAGATTATCCTTGCAACAAAGTACTTAGTTTCAACATTCTTCTGAATATATTGCTTTACACTGCATATTACGTCTCTATTGAAGGTCCAGGATTGGGATTTGTGACCTATCCTGACGCCCTCACACAACTACCGGTCCCTCAGCTGTGGTCATTCATGTTCTTTCTGATGTTGTTCATGGTTGGTTTGGATACACAGGTGCAATATGAAGTGTTTTACGACAGCTGAGAAAGGAACTGTGGTTCAAATATAGAATGGCAGAATATTGCTGCCCTTTGGGATTGGTTTTCCAATTTAGAGCAATTCTCCAGCAGCCTATTCTGGTAGTAACCAAATTGAGTGAGTGTCAGTGCCTGGGGGTTCGGGATTTCAATTTATAGCAGTCTCCATCAGTATATTCTGACAGTAACCAAAAGGAGATATTGTCAGTTCCTAGGCATTAGAGCTTCCTGGTTAGATGAGGTCTCCTTAAGCTTTCTGATAGAAATCATGAACTTGATCACTGCTTTGTCTGGTTCAGATTCGATCATTCGATCTGGTTCAGATCTACACATATCCTGAAGAAGTCATAAACATTTTGTTTCAATACACAATATCAAACTGTGCGTGGACGCAAACGCACAAACAATAATTACTGATGGTCGGGTGCTTAAAAGTTCAGTGTATTATCTACGAGCAGCAATGTCATTGATGGAATATGTCTGAAGGCCGTGTTAAACGACATTTCAAACTCACTATCGCAACATTAACTATGAAATCCAGAGTAAAATATAACTGTCTGATGGTGATGTTCATGAACATATTACTGGTTTGCATGGAGCTATACCGTCCACTGTTGTCCTTCCAGTTCCTGAGTACTGAAGTCGTTATTACTGCCCTGATTGACCAGTATCCGCAGCAGCTGAGCAAGAAGAGGATGTTTCTAACAGGAGGATGCTGCCTGACAGTATTTCTGATTGGACTCATCTTCTGTACCCAGGTCACTATGCTTACCTGTTGAACAATTCAGTAGGTCAAAACAGCCAGTGTATTTAACAATGCTTACGATCCAGTGACTCATGAAAACCAATATTGAAGAACATGGACAAGTTGTAATTAATGAAACAGTGACTGTGGCAAGTTGTGAATATTCCAGTTTGGTCATTCATAGTAGAAGGAACCCTGTTGGGAATATGAAAGCAAAGAGCTATGTATCATATCATGTATCTCTCACTGTAGCAGAAGCAGTAGCAGCAGCAGCAGCAGTAGCAGTAGTAGTAGTAGTAGTAGTAGTAGAAGTAGCAGCAGCAGCAGTAGTAGCAGTAGTAGTAGTAGTAGTAGTAGTAGTAGTAGTAGTAGTAGCAGCAGCAGCAGTAACAAAAGCAGTATTAGTATTGTGAGCAGTTCAATCAACACTTCATTTTCGTACAAAGGCCATCGGGCCCATATACATACAGTTTCATACATTATAATACAATTTGCATATATGTATACACGCCCATCTGCATACATGTATACAGGTAATCTGAACATACAATACAGGTTAATATGGATAAAGTAGATAAAGACATGATATGATAATACAAAAGTATAATATGGTATTTAATAGTATCAGTTGTGACAGTGACAAGCGCTAGTAGTAGTAGTAGTACTAGTACTAGTAGTAGTAGTAGTAGTAGTAGTGACGACATTTACAGCAGCAGTATATGGACTGTCTTCGTAGTTACATCAGCATGTGTGGCGGTGGTAGTGGTATATTGCATTAAAACCGTTGCACTAGTTGACGTAGCCGTAATGTCAACGGTAGGCGCATTATTTGTAGTTGCTGTGATAGAAGACGTAGGAACAGGGATCCTGGAGAAGGCAGCGGTACTGCCAGTAGTAAACGTAAAAGTGAGTAAGCGTTGTTGACCATAGTAGTATATATTGTTTGAAGGACGATATGAACTTACTGACTTCCTGTTACAGGGAGGGCCGTACATGTTTCAGCTTGTAGACTGGTATGTATTCTCCCTCGGGCCAATGGTGATATGTACACTGGAGTGTGTTGTCGTGTCGTGGATATATGGTGCGTACATCAATTTATCGGTATCAAGTGTGTATTCTTACTCTTAAAAATGTAGTCATGATCAATTGTTTGTCTGTTGGTGGTCGTCGTCGCTCATCATATCAGTCACTGGATTGTCTGGCCCAGAATGGACTTCCAGGTCACCATCAGAAAACTTTCTTTCTGAGTGTGGAGTGTACTGTTGTGTCGTGGATATATGGTGCATATATAGAGAATACTACACTCGGTCTCATTACATACGAGTGAGGTCAGAAACCATAGGAAGGTCACGAGTTTCGTATAATTCGTATGTAATGAGACAGAGTGTGGTATTTTATTTATTACCCACGTCTTACATGCATTGAATTGACAAAATAGCGTATTTTTGTTATTGTTATGGTTTCAAACCGAAACCGGTTCCTTGCGGAAGAATTTTGTTCTGTAGTACACTTTTGCATGACGTCACACTGTATTGACGTCACTACGCCATTCTTGTCTGTCCCCTTGGTAACCGACGTCACGATGCATGTCAGTTGTCATCGCCTCTCGTACAGCCTCCTACAGTAAACTACTCCGTAGCACCCCGTTTCTTGGTTTGCAACTGCTTCACTCGGCTAACATCACTGGTGGAAACATTGCATTTATGTTTTCGACGGATATAATGCCTCAGTTCGACTCACAATTAAACAGCGATACGGCAACGTTCGCAATGTTTACATTCCCACAATGCATCTAAGTTGTAAAATGAATGAATTCACGTGTTTGTTATGAATGAACAAGTAGTTCCGTCACAACGTGACCTAACTGAGAGGTCATCGGTTATCCAATCAAATCGTTAGAATCTCAGGTCAAGTCGTTACGACACAGGTCAACGCGATACGACACTCTCGTGTCGTACGAGATTAGTATGCAACTACCCATACGTTGACCACGTGGGTAATAAATCAATTTATCGGCATCAAATGTGTATGTAACTCTTCAATATACTCAAGGATCACGTGGTCCTGATTTAATTTTGTGTGTGCCAGGGGTCATCGTTGCTCACAAGTCAAAACATTGATTACACAACAGTTTTATTTTCCTGCTGACTGGGTTCCGTCCTATTGCGCAACTTCCTACAATAACCAGTCCAGAACTTTGAGACCAATTCATTCAACTGGATACATAAATATTAATCGGTTTTATTTGATACATCTAAGCACGTGTATATTGCAACACTACGCTGCTTCTAATCCTTGCAAACACGTCCTGCAGCGTGCTCTGTCGTACACCGTGCTCTGACAAACGGAAATCAGGAAATCATGGACATCTCAAAACGAGGCTCTGCCGCTAGAAAAGTTTGGCTGTCTAGTACGGACTTGATGTATATCAATCACATTGTGCGTTACAAACTACACTGAATAAGCGCAAATAACACATAACAGGCGTAACCAGTGAGCCAGATGAATTGTGAATTATTTTACGACCTCATCAAACAGGGGCAGTCTGTGACGTCTTAGTTAACGACATGCTGCCTACAACTGGCCATAAAATATAGAAATACGATGTTATTGAAGCTTAAAATAATATCACCATTTTCTAATGAACCATGAATTGGAATTCAGTGTAACCATAGTTGTTTGTGGTGTCTCTTTTCAATTTCACACGAGAAAATTCGGATCGGCTGAAAAGTAGGTCATTGTCTCAATAGGTTAATGAGACTCATGTTTCTGTCCTAATCGTGGATTGCGATATATAATTTGTCAATGTATCTTTAAACTTCAAATATATTTTACAAGAAGAATGACCTCGTACAAATAGATTACTTACGTCATCCATGGGGTAGAGAGCCATGCACAACCTATAGTAACATAGTCAGAAAGTTGGTAGAGTTCACGCATTAATAGAATTACACAAAATATCCTGTTGTGAACGCTAACTTACAATGTTTGTCTTCAATGTGAACATGTATATGTTCCGTCAGGTATAAGACGAATTAGTAAAGACGTTGAGATGATGATTGGCAAGCCACTGCCGATGCCTGTAAAGGTCCTCTGGGCTCTGATAACACCGTCAATCTTGATAGTAAGTACAATACAGTTGCACGGTACAATGATGGCGTTGAAGTCTCACAAACACGTATGATACATACTTGTGTAAGTTTACATGTCAAAGAGGCTCATCATTATTATAATAGTATATCCCTCATCAGAGTAGCGTTCTAACCACTACCACGTTGTATGTATATATATAGTCTGTTACTGAGTGTCCTTGGACCTGTTTCATATCCAGATCACTTTCATCTTGACACTTCTCCGCTATCAGCCACCAACCTACGGCAAGTACAAGTTTCCTAACTATGCTTCTACAATCGGCTGGATTATTGCAGTGCTGCCCCTTCTACCAATACCTGTCTACATGGTCCTGACTGTCAGGAAGCACATGGCGACCAATTCTCTGAAGAAGGTAGCACACACTTGTTCTTAAACTGTATCGAATATTAAATATACATATTAACATCAACCCTGCATCGCAATGGTAAAATGAAATGTAGAATACGCTATGGGCTCAACTGAACTGTCCTACTCCTAGTCAGTGGATGTCCTGCGCTGGTCCCCGTGGTTGTTTTTTGGAGTAAAAATATCGTTAGGTTCAAGTTTTAAGAAACATTCTCTGATCATTTTTTTCTCAGATATTTATTAACTTCTTTGAGTGGCTTTTTAGAAGCTGGAAAGTACAATATAGACGACATTTATGGATAGCAACTTCTTTATTTCGTGAGTGCGACGTTTCGATACAGATTCTTGTACCGCTGTCAAGGAGGAATGTATTGTATTTACGTTGGCTTTTATTAATATGTAGTCTCGATATTGCTGAAATGCTGCCGATGTGGAATTTTAACCCACTCTCTCACTCATTCACCAACTCCTGTTTTGGTCCAAACAGTATTTAAAACGACACGACGGCCTATTTCGCCCTGCTTGTTGATTGGCAAATGTCCACAGTAACACCAAGAATATGAAGAGTGCTGAATGGAAATTGATTACTATAACGTTGTGGCCCATGCAGGAAGCAAATATACTATAGTCCACATGGTCTCTAGTCTCGTGATCAACCTTCAGTTGTTGGCAATCTATAGCCTGTTTTTATATTTTACTGTAATCCATAGTTAAACTGTTTTAGTTTGTATTACTAGATTTAGATTCATATCTGTGAAATTTTAGTTGTTTACTGTCCTTTGTTGACAGTTTTTTATAATTTACCTTTAAATAGTATGTATAACAATTAATTGTTCTCGCCACGATATGGCTGAAATATTGCCGATGAGGCGATGCATTTTTTAAATCACTCACTCACTTTAACTTTGTTCTGAATAGACCCGTACACAGCATCAGTCGTGTCCAGGGTCATCCAAGCCTGATCGTGTCCTTTATGATATGGCCAATAAAACAGAGTGCTATACATATACATGATATTGTTGAGCTCTCAGTTGTATTAACTATTAGCACAGTTGCTAAAGTGTGGATAGGGCGACGATGTGATAGTATAGGGCGCTTTACCCTAGACCCAAAATCTGATGATTTGATTCCCAATTGAGCTCGATTTCTGTGATGACAGTTGTCAGTGTTGTGTGTTCTCTTTTACAAATGTACTAACTGTAAAGACCCTTTGACGTCACACCAAGTCATCCAAACCTTGGGCTGTCCTTTAGGTCATTAGTTTGCTACTGCTTCCGTACCACTCTGCTTTTAACCAACTGGTGTACAACTGTACAACGCTTTAAAATGTTTATAATGGATACGTTGAACAGCAGGGTAACGGAAACGTCAATATATGTTTCCAGTTTGCAAACTAAGTACAGATGAAAAATCAAACCGACAAGCCAATTTACAAATATGAACTAATGAAACGATATGTGTGATAGGAATTCGCTTTCGTTGACAGAGTGTACGTCTTGCCTTGAGACCTGATGATGAATGGCAACCTGCGAAATCCAGAAACCGGCAGGATTCCATTGATGAGTCCACAACATAACAACCACCTCTCAAGACTACGCTCACGGTGCTGTTCAAACAAAAACATGGAACCTCAACGTTTCAAGCCGTCTTTATTATTGACTAAGTGCACTAACAGTCCATCGCGACAATGTTAATATACTATACTTGCCACCTCTCAAATACGGCCAATCATTCCCATATTACCATTTGCTGAAGAGGCATTTTCTGTTGGTTGCGTTTATACATGTATGTTCTGCTTATACGCTTTCCTTTGTTGTAGCTATACAGAGTTATACAAAATAACCCTGAGAAAATTGTGAACGATATCAGGGCTTTCACAGAGTACTGACCTATTCACCCCCGACATTTTCTTATAACGATACCCGAAAGAGTGTAAGAGTCGCCAGAGTGTGTACTTTGATACTCTGAGGTTGTGTTCTTGCTTCAAATGCTTTTAAAACATTTTCAGCGACATGTATTTGTTTTCAGAATAGAGCTTGTTGATAGACTGCCTTACAAGGTTCTTTTGAAAGTTGTCCAAATGCTTTAATTTGTGTGATTTTGACACGACCCCTACCTGCTTCGCATCACCCTCACAATGTTTGTGTTCCAGAACATTTGTCAGTACCCTTGCTGATACTCCTAAAGCTTTTGCTGACCGCTTACGGAATTTATTAATGGCATAAAATGGTTTGCCACTTTCGGCTTCAGCACGGAAAAAATCGTACACTTTAATCATCAACTGTTTCACGTCAGCATTCAACTTCATTTTTCATCAGGCATGTGTATCCCGTGCACAACGAGATAGTGGCTGTTCCATTTCTGTGGTTTCACCCCGCCGCGACAGATTCCAACTTTTGTGTCTCAATGATGATAGTTTCTGAAACAACTATTTTGGTGGAGTCCGGAAAATTTTCAAATATAAGAAAGCTGTTGGGTATTTGTAAATGATAAACTTGTGTACTATTTATATTTATGTGGCAATTTTGTACAATGATAAAATTTGCAATTCATCGGTCCGTTTCTGACTCAAACGGACTGTAGGGGTTGTCATGTCATTTCTTTTCACCGCGTTTTCCCGCTCGCTTTACTAGGATCTGGGAGGAGCGTTGTTCAGTTCTGTGATTCGTAGAACTGAATAACTGAAGATTTAATCGAATTTTGTATTGTCGAATTTGCAACTGAAAAGGCAGCTTGATGTTTAGAATACAAATTTGAGCCTTGTTCAACGTTTACAACCAAGTAAGGGGCAATGTGACCCTGAAGAGATTATTTTACTGTTGGACAGAGAAAAGTGTCATATCTCAAGACGACACTCAAAATACCCCTTCAATAAGATTTATGATTTGTTTTGCCATAACACACACATACTGTAATCTTTGTTGCTTAACGTTGCGCACAGCAATATTCCAGCTATATGGCGATGGTCTGTAAATAGTCAAGTCTGGACCAGAGAATCCAGTGATCAATAACATGAGCATCTGCGCAACTGAATTATCATGATATCAGAGTTCTGTAAACATTAACTTCTGAGATGATATGGCCGTCAGATCATGATAATGGTCACATGATATCAACCCCGTATTGTCAAATCACGATGAAGTATGTTCCCCAATCATAACTGAATTTTATATACATGTACTGTATTTGTATTAAAAAGTTAGTGAAGCACGGGCCTTTCTTGACGTGCGTAAATCCCAGATCAGCTTACAAGTTCTCTGAACGAATTGCATTATTTAGTAACGTCTAACTTTGGAACGTTTGTGTTTTGTTACATTTATTCATTTCTTCAAAAATCTGTATTCGTAACGAATAAAAAGTCATATTCAATTTGGCCCATTTCATAGTTTTCATCAGCGATCGACCATTTGATATTTCGAGCCTAAATATTTATTTATGAAAAACACCTTGCAACAATGTTAGTCAGCAGTCGTGCCTTATTCCACAGTCTAGAAGCATTAGCATGTTTTAAAGCATTTTTAGGATTATTTATTATTTTGATCAAATCCCTCGGAATAAATAAATGGTTGATCTCTTGTGGTTAATAGATGATTGCAGAAGAAAACTCATTGTGAAAAAACCCATTCAAGTCAATATGAACGGCCATTACGACAAGCCTATGGATCATCTCTGCATATAAAATCAAGTTCATTCAGAAGATCGCAGAAGAATCTCCGTTCGTCATCAAACTTACAAAGACAAAGAATGTACTGACAAATATTATTATATTGCTTTGTTACATGGTGGGTAGTATGGGGTCTTCAACAATACAGCACAATACATTGCTTTGGTGATGCTCAGCCCAACGTATAAAGATTAATGGAGACGTCTATAGTGTAGCGTTTATATGCTTACTCTATGCTACAAACAGAATAAAGGTTAAGAAAAACATCTATACACGAAAAATGTAAAGGAAAACTTAAACATCTTGCCTCACTTTAGAAAAATAAAACGTTTCGAGTGATGCATAGGGCCTCTTATCACACGGTAGTACTGTAAAGTTGGTTATAAAACTAGACTTTCATGTAAGAGGCCAATTATATCCGTGGAAAGTGTGCATCTAGGAAATGCGTGCATATCTAGAAATTACCATACGTTTAAATATGCAATAAAGTTATTTGGTTTGGACCAAATGTCTTTCCTTGTCAATACCGGGGATGATGCATGTATAGGGAAAGGACATTAATCACCAACACTATTACAAGTTATGGCCTGAGTTGGAACGAAAGGGATAGGGAAACAGTCATCTTTCAACCTTCAGACCTGAAATCAACGCATTAAACACTAATAGTCCTTTAGACTGTCACACGTGTTACGTAGTATCGTGTTTACCTACCAGGCACATCAATACACGCCCTAACACGAAAGCAGATGATGTTAAACGTCTGAACAGAACAATTGACTGAAAGCGTTCTCCCAAATATAACATAATTTATGTTCTCTATGTCAATATTGTTGAAAAATAACAGCATCAAGATCCATCTTCAGACAATGATTTCTTTAGCGCTTTGCTCTGTCTCACTCGAACGTCATCAAGACTGCGACGAACTTGACTAAATCCGTGTTACATTCACGCGCAGTTTAATTTACGGGTTTAATTTAGAGGTAACCACAGTCTACATTCACAACACTATAATGTGCCTTTTCGTTGCGTTTATTGTGCTTTCTGTATTTTCACTTCTTGAAATCAAACGTACAAACGTGTTTCCCTCACAATCAAACAAGCATAATTAACAAACCACCATGTTACAAATTCGAAATATATATATATATATATATATATATATATATATACATATACCTCTCTTCAGGTGCGGCACATGATTAAACATTGTTTTTATCACACATAAACGCCTTATTTTGACAATGATAATACACACGTACATGCAACCTTTTAGACAGTAAACTGCCGTTATGACTCGTGAGTGTTCTACAGATTCATGTGCTCATCAGTAAGGTTTCTATCTAATATTTTAGTGGTATTAAAAAATAGAAGAATTTTTTTAACTCCCTTTGACCCTAGCGGAAGTGACTGTACATGTGCTTTAATTTGGGGTCTCCTCATAGTGCAGGCACCTTTTGTTCATAATTACTGAAGCAATCAGGCATGTCAAATAGCAAAACAAAGGGATTACTTGGGGGACCATATCAGTGTAAACAAAAGTTTAAACTTTTATTTTTCAATACAATAACATATATATACTGAACAGCAACAGAAACGCAAGTTTCGAAAAAATGAAATCTCATGAAGGTAAGCGTTCAGGTTTATTGAACGTTCATGGTAAAGTGACGTAATGATCCCAGATGAGATGATATCATGCAATTTGACGTCCATACGAACCATTCGAACAAACACACCAACAGTGCAGCAAAACCATCATTTTAGCATGTGTATCGACGGTTATGGATGAAAAGCATTCATTTCACTCTGAGGTATCATTTATAAAGGTCTATGTCAAAAAACAGTTCAGTATTGACGCTAGGAGGTGTACACGCCACACAAACGATGCCTACACTAACGACAGAGCAGAAGGGAATGGCCATTGGAAAGTTTCACGGAGGTAGCTCTGTAACCGCTGTAGCTAGACAATTGGGCTATAATCTTACCACCATTACACGACTTGCTCAACTTCATCAGCAAAGAGGCTTGCTGCTGATCGTCCCCGTACCGGACGGCAACGAGTGACAACTCATGCGCAAGATCGGTTTATCCGTGTCACTTTGCTAAGGAACCGAACTCAAGCAGCAACAGTGGCAGCAGCCTTAGTTCTTGGGTCAAGGGAAGCAGTGCCAAGCGATACGATTAGGCGTCGTCTTCGGGCTGCTGGAATCCACTGCCGAAGGCCTTATGTGGGCCAATTTTGGCACGTCAACAACGCCAGCGACATTTGCAACCCTCACACAGCAAGGGTGTCGATGGATTCTCTGGCTCAGAACAACATTAACGTCTCTTTCCCCGGATATGGCTCCCATTGAACATTCTGGGACAAAATTGGACGGAAGATTGCAGCAGGTAGACAGCCACTCACACTTGCACAATTGGAATAGAGATTGGTGTGTGAGCGGAACCAGTTGCCTCAGGCATTCTTTCCGACTCTAGTGAACTCAATGAGCCCATGGTGCACGGACTGTGTGCAAGCTCAAGGAGGCTATACGTGCTACTAATGAGACTGTCACTTTTTGCATTCAGGGGTATCTCCATTTGACGGACTGTGATCAGTTTGAACTTATTGCAATTCAATGTCAACAGCAACTTTTAGTTGTTAAATTAACAGTGTTTGCTATAGAATAAGTGATTAAACATAATTTTGCTTGTCTTCTATTCAAAAACTTGACAGAAAGCCAGACTTGCGTTTCTTTTGCTCTTCAGTATATTAACTATATATACACACACACACAAATATCAAACCTTTACAAGAAAAAATAAGCATTGGACTTCATAGCACTGAATGAACTACATTTTATGTTAGCACTGAAAAGCATTACAATTAAAGTCCAACTAAATGTGACATAGAATCAGCAAATTCCATCAAAGTT